ACTCCTTATCAAAAACAGCCCGAAGCCGACGGAGAACCCTCTACAGCAGTCAAGCGTTGTATACATGTACACTTGCCCCCACGAAGGATGTAACCTTCAATGTAAGTACATAGGTATGACGTCGACCAAGCTGACGAGGCGTTGGACATGCCATCTTCAATCTGGTGCCCCTAGGAATCACATGAGACAAGCCCATGACATTACTCTAACAAGAGAAATGTTGAACAAGAATACTTGCATAATAGACAAAACCCAAGATTCAAGAAGATTACAAATTCTTGAGGCAATTCACATAAGAATAGAGCGACCTACCATGAACACCCAAATCACGGAACTATTTACTCTACCCACCATGAGAGTAAGGACAAGACAAGAACATATCGATGCCAACACAGAAGACAATGTCCAACATAACAGGCCAATTACACTGGATTAATCTTTGTGTTTAGATAGGAGATGCCTCGTATGGGCCAATAAGCCTTCTGCAGCCCCTATGTTTATCCCTTATGTATCCCCCCATGTTTTCACCTTCATTGTATTATCACCTGACCTAATGCGGGTATAAAATACACTAGTATTGTAAGATCTGTTCACTTGAGAATGAACCATGGAGGTTCGAAACGTCGTGCAAATTATACAAATAAGTGTAATACACTCTATAGTAAATCACTTCTTTTCTTCACCTTAAAAGTACGAAAATGAGTTTTGGAGAACTCCTATTTCAATTAAGCCCTGATGCTAAGAAAATAGTTAGAGGGATAGAAGCCCTAAACCAGAAAATAATAAATACAGAATATGCGGTCATATTCAATGAAACATATATATATATATATATATATATATATATATATATATATATATATATATATATATATATATATATATATATATATATATATATATATATATATATATATATATATATATATATATATATATATATATATATATATATATATATATATATATATATATATATATTTCAGCTTACTGAAATCAACACAAGAAAAAGCCCTCAATCTTTCCCTCAGCGACTCACAGTGGAAACAGGCCTCCCTTCCTGTCAGATTCGGGGGCCTTGGTGTGCGCATAGCAACACAAATTGCTGTACCAGCGTTCCTGTCCTCTTCAGTGGGGTCTGACAACTTGATGAAGGAAATCCTACCTAAGCACCTAGTTTAACAAGCAGGGGTACATGATCCCAGCTTCACAAACTGCACAAGCAAATGGGTCTCTCTCGCAGGACCAGCACCCCAACCACCGCTTCCTGAAACTTATAAGCAATCCAGCTGGGATCGCCCCACTGCCGACCAAGAAGCTGTGAATTTGCTAGAAGCTGCGACAACACCACATGACACTGCCCGACGTAGAGCTGTAGTAGCTCCCCATGCAAGTGATTTCCTATTAGCAACCCCAATGTCAGCAACCGGCACCCGTCTCACACTGCAGGCCGTCCGAATTGCCGTGGCTCTCCGCCTCGCTGCCCCAATCCACACCGAATACAGGTGTATTTGCGGCGAGGCAGAGGCCGACAGATACGGACGGCATGGCCTTCTCTGCCAAAGGACAGGAGGATGGCATGCAAGACACGGCGAGGTCAATGACATTATTAAGAGAAGCCTTACCACAGCCGGTTGTCCAGCAGAGAGAACCCAGTCACCTAATGTCCCACAACTCTGATGAGCCTGTCGGTCGCTCAGATGGAATCACAGTGAACCCCTGGAAGAATGGTAGACAGTTGGTGTGGGACTACACATGCGTTTCAACTTTAGCCAATACCTATGTTGACTTCAGTGCTACACAAGCAGGAGGAGCTGCCAATCACCGGGAAGCGACCAAGTCACGTAAATACAGAGACCTTGAGCACCACTACAATTTTGTCCCCATTGTCTCAGAGACACTTGGTGCCTGGGGTAAAAGTGCTGCTAGATTTTTGAAGGAGTTGGGGTCTAAGCTAATCGAAACAACTAGAGACCCTAGAGCTGCCAGTTTTCTTTTTCAGCGCCTTAGTGTGGCAATCCATGCAGAGAGGAAACGCTCTCTGCATCTATGGTTCCTGCCCGCCATCTGAGGAGCTGTTCAACCTGTGACAAGCAACCTTGTACCCTGCATGTAATCAATATTGTAACTTTTTTGTGTAATGACAATTTCATATAAAGTTAGACAAATATACACACATACCAAAAGAATAGGGGTGGTAGGAGAAGACAATATCAGTGTTCAGTGAGGATCAACAAGGTCTTCTCTGAGTACTCTTTATTTTCTTCTCCGAGGCTATAGGTCCCTACACTTGTACCAGAGGTGGTACCCCTTCTTGGGTTTAAATATATATATATATATATATATATATATATATATATATATATATATATATATATATATATATATATATATACATATATATATGTGCTCTAAAGAAAAAGGATGGAGAAATCAGGCCAATAGCTGTGGGCAATTCTCTCCGGCGTCTCATCGCAAAGGCAGCTGCTAGAACAGTTAGTGATGCAGCAGCCAACATGCTGAAGCCAAAACAACTCGGGTTCGGCATTCCACAAGGGTGTGAGGCGGCAGCCCATGTAGCTCGAGCCTTCATCGCCAACATTACAGACGAAAAGGCCCTTATCAAGCTAGATTTAAAAAATGCCTTCAATTTGGTGCGGAGGGTTGCTGTACTCCGTGCGGTTCATAGTCATTTCCTTTCCCTCTACCCTTTTGTACATTCATGCTACAGTATGGATCTTAAGCTACTTTTTGGCGAACATGAAATTGACTCGCGAGAAGGCGTCCAACAGGGTGACCTCCTTGCTCCTCTCCTTTCCTGCTTAGTCATCAAACAAGTCACAGAGGTCCTGTCCAGCGAGCTTAACATCTGGTTCTTGGATGATGGTACCCCTGCTGGTTCCCAAGACTACCTCCTGGAGGACATCAGAAAAATCCAGGAGCAAGGTGCAGTTTTAGGCCTCACCCTGAACCCATCTAAATGTGAAATAATATGTTCGAAACAGGGCATCGTAGAGAGAATAGAGGGTCTCCTGCCAAATATCCATAAAACTAAACCTGAAGACAGCACACTCCTAGGAGCTCCCCTGGGGTTGAAAGCCATCGATGAGGTCCATGATAAGAAAATCGCCATCTTACAGTAGCCAAAAACTAAGTGAGTATAACCGGTTACTGAAATCAATGCTAGAAAAAGCCCTTAACCTCTCTCTTGATGACCTACAGTGGAAACAAGCCTCTCTTCCTGTATGACTTGGGGGCCTCGGAGTTAGAACAGCAACGGAAATCGCTGTTCCAGCCTTCCTGTCCTCCTTATCAGCATCCGACGACCTTGTGAAGGAAATTCTACCTGCCCACTAACATCACTTGGCAGGTGTACATGATCCCAATTTTACACGCTGTGCCACACAGTGGGCCTCTCAACCACCATCCCCAAAAGCCCACAAGCAATCCAGCTGGAATGGCCCCATTGTAGACGAAGTTGCTGCAGAGTGACTGGGTGCTGCAACAACACAACACGACATTGCTCGCCTCACAGCAGTAGCAGCCCCACATGCAGGGGATTTCCTGTTAGCAACCCCAATGTCGGCAACTGGCACGCGTCTCACACCACACGCCCTCCGAATTGCTATGGCCCTTCGCCTTGCTTCCCCAATCCACACCAGATATAGGTGTATTTGCGGCGAAGTGGTGGCTGACAGGTACGGCCACCATGGCCTACTCTGCCAAAGCACAAGGGGATGGCACTCGAGGCACAGTGAAGTTAACGACATCATCAAGAGGAGCCTCACCACAGCTGGATGCCCAGCTGAAAGAGAGCCCCGTTACCTAACGCCCCGTAACTCTGATGCTCTTATTGGTCGCCCGGATGGTATCACAGTGAACCCCTGGAAGAATGGCAAGCAGTTGGTACACTACACGTGCTTATCAACCCTGGCTAACACCTACATTAACCTCAGTGTTGCACAACCAGGTGGCGCTGCCACCCACAGGGAAGCAGCCAAATCCCGTAAGTATGGAGAACTGGATCACCACTACAATTTTCTCCCCATTGCTTCTGAGACACTCGGCGCCTGGGGTAAAAGTGCTACCAGATTTTTGAAGGAACTGGATTCTAGGCTCATTGAAACAACAAGGGACCCTACAGCTTCCAGTTTTCTTTTCCAGCGCCTCAGCGTGGCGACACAGAGGGGAAATGCGCACTGCATCCAGGGTTCCTGCCCGCCATCTGAGGAGCTGGAGGAACTCGACAACCTATGATAACCATCTTTGTAACCTATATGTAACTTCTTTTTTGTAACAAAGTTCAAATAAAGCAAATATATATGTGTACATACAAAAGAATGAGGGTGGTAGGAGAAGATAATATTAGTGTTCAGTGAGAAACCACAAGGTCTCCTCTGAATACTTTTTATGAGGCGGTTCTCCCTCAACAGGGTGAGGAAGGTGTTACTGCGGCGAGGAACAGCAGTGGGCAGGGGGAGCAACCTGTCCTCTTAAAAAGAACGTCGCTTTTGGCCGTTTGCCTATATGGCCGAATATGGACGTAATTTGAAAATAAAAAATAAATGAAAATAAATTTGGGATTTTTTTTTTTTCAACAACAGTAAGTTAAGGGTCCTCTGATAGGTTTGGTGGGCAGGAAATTTTCATAAAGTTTCAAAACGGTATGGAAAACGTTAATGGAAAGCTTCCTTTTCTAAGCTTGCATAGTAATCCGGACGACTCAAACAGAAAACGGAACAGTACGTCACTTTTGTGAGTCGATTTCATTTCAAATTACATCCAAATTTGGCCATAACGCGCATACGAGCGAAAAGTGACGTTATTTTTAAGAGGACGGGTTGCTCTCCCAGCAGTGTGAGGAAGGTGTTACTGAGGCGAGGAGCAGCAGTGGGCGAGGTTCTCCCCCAGCAGGGTGAGGAAGGTGTTACTGTGGCGAGGAGCAGCAGTGGGCGAGGTTCTCCCCCAGCAGGGTGAGGATGGTGTTACTGAGGCGAGGAGCAGCAGTGGGCGAGGTTCTCCCCCAGCAGGGTGAGGAAGGTGTTACTGTGGCGAGGAGCAGCAGTGGGCGAGGTTCTCCCCCAGCAGGGTGAGGAAGGCGACGCAGGAGCCTAACAGCAGCATGTAGAAGGCTCCCTGCAGATGGTTGAGGCTCAGCACCATCTGCTGCCCTTCATCCTGACAGTCAAGAGTGGAATGTGCATTAGATGTTAAAGGAATAACTAGTAACAGGATTTTTCAGTGTGTATGCTGACTCTTGGACTGTATGAAATGAAAATTACCTTTAATGCACCTCCGAGAATAATCCTATTTTCATCTTTTACAGCCTTCCTCTCCATCCTCACCTTACTGGCTATTACGTCTTCTGTCCAGTAAGTAATAATTCCGGCAGCATTTAGGCGAGCCATTAGTTGTCTAAATCGTTGGTGAAAAGGTGCACCTTTTCTGCAGAGTGGATATTAGTGTTTTAAATTACTGGTTAATATCTTAGAATATGTCTATTCCTAAAATTACAAATTGTATTCAGTCAACACAAAATTTTCCTTCAGCGTCGAAATCGACTTTAGTCAACCTTTAGAGTAAAACCTTTTCTGAATACGGTGACTTTTCACAATATTATTAAGAAAACTCTACTCTAAGCCAGCTACCACAACCACAAACTCAAAATCATTGTTCACAATGATCATCCATTTTTATAATTTTACGCCATTTAACATACACAACTTCATGCATTGTCATCATCGTGACATATTACGTATATATTAAATATACATCAAATATACAGATACTGTCATGGACGTCTCTCATATATTTTGTATATTTGAGCAATTCTGTTTGGTTCTTCATATAGAGTGGTCTTTTAATGAAAATGTACAACATCTTACTGAGTTTATGTAAAAAATTAGGTATTTAACTTACATATTTTGCTAAAGTTGTTTTGTAAATATTAATGTGGATATAAAAGGCAAATAAACACTTTCTGGATATATTTTTCACCTTAGATAAGCTAAGATATTTGCATTTACTGATAATTTTATGCACATGTGATGAGATTCTTTGAATTTAAAGTGTCTTATTTTATTTTACGAAACCAAACTTGTTTGGGGTTTTGAATGAAAGAAATGCAAATATAATAGCATAGTTTAAACTTATTAGAAATGTGATAATAATAATATTAATAATAATTAAATAATAATAATAATTATATTAATAGCAATAAAGTTACAAAACTTAAATATTGAGAATTTGGTTTTCTTATACTAAGTTGGCAATAAGATGATTAATTTAACATGCAGAACTTGGTAACCAGTATATCTACAAATAAAGACTATCAACGTTTGGTCGTTTAATATAAGACGACTAGTATGTTTATTTATGATGTGTCAAAAAATATTATTGTATAGAAAATCTAACAAATAATCAGTCTATTCTCCCAATCATTCGTTTATTATACATACTGTTTGATCTTAAAATTGCCATAGTAATTTTGATAGTTTTCTATATTTCTAATGCAAATTTTACTTACCAATTTTACTTTTACTTGCTAATTTCACTTACGTTGAAATTTCAAGCTCTTTGGTCATGAGTTTCCCTTGTTATTTGTACAATTTATTATGCTTATTTTTGCTTATTTTATGAAAATTTTCTTCATGTTCCTTGAGTACATTTACAGATGCATTGTCAGTGAAAAAAACTAACCTGGTGCTCCATCCTGCCGAAAAAAACATTGGTATATCGCTGCTGATGTAGAAGGGAGTGTTGCCTCGAGCGTCCGTGTATCGAGTTGCGATGTAGATGGTGACGAAGCTCTTGTAGATGATGAAGGAGAATCCTCCTTCCAGTGTTTTCTTCAGAGCCTTGTCCACCTGTATTACCTAGCAAACAGACTTTAAATGAAGACTTCCCTGTTTAATTTATGAAGGTTTGTGGCGTTTAAAGAAAATAATATTCATTGTCTTGTAATATTTTGTTGCTAACTTTATCAGACAAACTATTAACATACACATAATTAATATAATATGTAGTGTTAAATACGCAAAGTTGGTGAGTGATCTATATGTGTAATTTGAAGTACCCAAATACTTCTCACCTCCATTTTATGATAGACTTGATTGACTGCAGGATTTGGATGTTTCACAAAGAAATCAATAACTGATTCTGACAATATCCATGGTGGAGTTCCCCACCTCCAGCCAGGCTGGTTCACCAGGTCCTGGAAGGTCTCTAGTGGCCGGGACCTGCCTTGTACAGTAAGGTGAGCCATCAAAGAGGAACTGAACCCTGTAGTGATGATCAAGCAGAACACAAGCCACCACCCAACCAACATCTGTGGACCAACAAAAATTGAAAAAAAATTGTAATTGTTTATTTGTAAAATTACCACTTAATGCAGACGAGTTTATTGACTTTGCGATTTGTCAGTCACTGTGGACTAACTTTAGTAAAGAGTTTCTTGACTCGGTCATATTTTCAGTAATTTTTTACTTTGACTTTTGAGAAGAGTTTTCGTCTTCGCTATTTGCCAGTCTAGTTGGGTCTTAGTTTTTCAGAAAGCAAAGTGATAGTTCACTAACTGGATTTTATTGATGTTCATGCTGAGACATTACCCTCCCCCCACTCTGGTTATGTAACGTCACCATCCATCATGTTCACAAGTAAGTAATTATCAAAAGAAGGCACCAAACCAGGAAGGCTATGTAGCACCACCAAATGTGCGAAATAATTAGAGGGTGCTAAATATCACCACGGATGCCAATGCGAGAACAAAAACGCATAAGGCGAACGATATCAAAAGTATCCGAGTCACCAAGAATTCTATTGAGGGACAGGTGACCGCGAGGGGAGGTCGAAAGCAAAGACACATGCTCGTCCTGGGAGTCAGGACATTCAAGAAGAATATGCACTACCATAAGAGGGACAACGCAATTAGGACAATAAGGAGCAGGGCGGCGCACCATCAAGCGACCATGGGTTAGGCAAGTATGGCCAATACGCAACCTCGCCAGAGCCGTTTCCCATCGCCGGTTACGGTGGTAGGAGGACGACCAACATATAAGACACAACATATAAGAATACGTAGTATGTTACCAGTAGCAGACGACCAAGAAGCCTGCCAACGGGTAGAGATAGAAGAATGGATAACCAGGTAAAAGTCGGAATATGGAATACCTTTACGAGAGATGAGACAAGAGCAGACAGCTTTCTTGGCGGCAGTATTCGCACGCTCATTTAAAGAGACACTAATATGGCTGGGAACCCAACAAAACTGAACCGACTTAAATATACTGTGAACAAGAAACAGCCAATGCTGGATCTCGACAACTACTGGATGAACCAAATTAAAGGACCCGAGAGCCATGAGGGCACTACGAGAGTCAACGACAACTACAAAGGAAGAAATACGAACGGAAAGAGAATCCTGTAAACGAGATAACCGAACAGAAAGAGGGAGGTGGTGAAAAGGAACAGGAACCGCAAGAGGGGTAAAAGTTAAAGCACGACAGAGGCGAGAGGAAGGATGTTGCAAGGACCGCGCAAGATAGCGAAGACAGTAGCGATCACGGCGGTCCTGGAGAGACAGGAAGCCAGTGTCAACATACAAGCTGAAAACAGGAGTCGAACGAAAGGCACCTGAACTGAGGCGCAACCCAGTATGGTGCAAAGCATCAAGACGGCGAAGAGTAGAAGGAGAAGCAGACGAGTAAGCAGGGCAACCATAATCAAGCTTAGACAGGACGAGAGAGGAATGTAAAGCAAGGAGAGTGAGCCTATCCGCTCCCCAAGAAGAATGGGACAATACCCAAAAGAGGGTAAGGGCCTTAGAGCACTCAACACGGAGGTAAGAGATATGGGGAGACTAAGACAATCGAGTGTCAAGAAATAACCCCCAAAAGCTTCGCGGAATCTTTGTACTCAAGGGGATGACCATAAAGTGACAAAGAGGGACGAAGAATGACCCGTTTCCGAGTAAAAGTCATGGCACAAGTCTTAGAAGTAGAGAACTTGAAGCCATGATCGGTGGCTCAAGACGACATGGCATCAATCCCAAGTTGAAGCCGGCATTGAAGGAGAGGCGAATAATCACCCTGACAGCAAAGGGTAAGATCATAGACATAGAGAGCGGAGAAGACGCCTGAAGGAAGAGAGGAAAGAAGACCATTGAAGGCAACCAGAAAAAGAGTAGTGCTCAGAACACTACCCTGGGGCACACCTTCGTATTGCTGAAAAAAAGCAGAGAGAGCGGTACCAAGGCGCACCCGAAAGGAACGACGAGAGAGGAAGCTGCGTAGAAAGGGAGGGAGATGACCACGAAGGCCAAAAGAATGAAGTTGGGATAGAATATGATATCGCCAAGTGGTGTCATAAGCCTTTTCCAGGTCACAAAAGACGGCAACAACGGAGATCTTCGAAGCAAAAGCATTACGAATATAGGCCTCCAAGTTCACCAGGACATCTGTCGTGCTGCGACACTTGCGGAAACCAAATTGAGAATGGGAGAGGAGGTGATAGTGTTCCAGGAACCACATCAGACGAACGTTAACCTTACGTTCAAAGAGTTTGCAGACACAACTTGTGAGGGTAATAGGGCGAAAGTCCTTAGGGGATGTTCCCAGAGACCCTGGTTTGCGAACAGGGAGGACAACGGCATCGAGCCAGTCCTCAGGGACTGACGAAGACTCCCAGAACTGATTATACAGATTCAGTAAATACGGAGACGTGCACGGAGAGAGACGTGCACGAAGCATCTCATGATGAATACCATCGGAGTCCGCCGTTGTAGAACCGCAGAGGGCCAGGGCAGAACGAAGTTCAGAGAGAGAGAAGGGATCGTTATAGGGAAGTCGAAGACGAGTGCAGAAATCTAAAGGACGAGACTCAAGGACAGGTTTACGAAGAAGGAAAGATTGGGGAAGATGAAGACCAGAGCTAATAGAAGAAAAGTGGGAACCCAGTTCGGTAGCGACCTGCAACGGGTCCGCCACTAGAGTACCATGGAGGTGAAGGACCGGTGAAACATCAGGAACGAACTTACCCACTATCTTGCGGATACGCTTCCAGATCTGTGACAGAGGAGTTTCGGATGTAATGGGGGAGAAATAAGATGCCCAACATTCACGTTTAGCCAAACGGATGGCCCTACGGGCTACCGCACTCGCCTTCCGAAAGAAAAGAAAAGAATCGGCCGTTTGCCGACGGCGGTGTCTCTTCCAGGCTGCACGCTTACAGCGGACAGCCCGAGCACAGTCTGCATTCCACCAGGGAACGCACTTCCGTGGACCCCCGAGAGGAAGAGCGAGGAATAGAGCGGAGGGCAGCGTAGAAGACAGTGTCATGAAAAAGGAGAAAGCGAGGGAGAGTCAGAAGGGAGAGGTCAGAGAGAGCACTGAGGGTAAAGAGGTTCCAGTCCGCTTTTGCAAACTGCCACCTAGGGAAGGAGAGGGGAGGGCGAAAAGAGAAAAAGGTAACAAGGATGGGGAAATGGTCACTGCCATGGAGGTCATCAAGAACCTGCCACGTGAAATCTAAGTAAAGAGAAGACGAGCAAAGAGAAAGATCAAGACAGGAAAGGGTGCGAGTCCGAGAGTACAAATGTGTGGGCTCACCAGAATTCAGAAGAGACGGGGAAGAAGAGAGGATAAACGGCTCAAGAAGGCGACCTCGGGTGTTCGTCAGAACATCACTCCAAAGGGAATGATGACAACTGAAATCACCCAGCAGGAGCACAGGCTCCGGCAGAGTCCAGTAAGTGTTTCAGATCAGGAAGAGAAAGCGGGACACTCGGGGGAGATAAATGGAACAAACAGTGTACCATTTCCCAACAAAGATACGAGCAGCAGAACAATGGAGAGGCGAAGGAAAAAGTAAGAGGACAATGGGAACATCAGAGCGAATCAAGAGAGCAGAAGAGTTAGGAGCCCCAGCAACAGCTGGGGGGGGGGGGAGAGAAAGGAATAGCCGCGAAAGCGACATGGACGAGCACTAAGCATCGGCTCCTGGAGACAGACACAAAGGTCAAAGGTAAGAAAATCGCGAAATTAGAAGTTGGAGTTCAAGGAAATTGGCGTAATAACCCCGAATGTTCCATTGAAGAATAGACTTCGACGAGAAGAGAAAGGACAACAACAGAGAACAAGGAAGAAACAAATGCGAAAGACCAACATAGGACGTTAAAGATCAGGGTCGGGATCAGGGTCAGCAAAGTCAGGGTTAGGGGGCATGGGTAAACTGAGCAAAGACGGAGGGAAGGAAGCGGGAGAACAGACCAGAGGTGGACAGGCAGGGTCCGGAAGAGGAGGAGGCAACCGAGAGGAGTAGGTAAGAACAGCAGCAGGAAGTGGGGGGAGTAGAAAGAGGGGAGCGCACCTCAGCAAGGTCAGCAACCGAGAGGGAAGCGGGGGTCAAAGAAACCTCCATAGCAAGAACAGGGGGCGCAACCACCGAAATGGGAAGGGAAGGGGCGATAGAGTCAGAAGTAGGGGCTGAGGAAGAAAGCGAAGCCTTCTTACCCGCCGGGGAGGAGGAAGGAGAGGAGCCAGGCTTACGCTTCTGACTTAAAGAGACAGGTTTCCCAGCAACTACCTACTGGGCAACGGATTCCAGTGTCTCAAGAGGAGAAGCTGAACGAGAGCACACACGACGGCCGGTAGGAGAGCGATGGACAGCAGCCCGCACTGACAGGTGGCGGGGAGAGTCAATAGGTGGAGGAGAAGGTTGGGAAGGAGGAACGGAGGGAGACGAGGAAGAAGACACAGGAGACAAGACAGACCGGGCAGAAAGAAAGGGAACCCCAGATAGAGAACCAGGAAGGGGACCCTTCAGGACAGAACTCAAAGGAACAGAGGAAGGGGCAGTGGGCGTATCAGGGTCTAAGGTCCGGAAACGGCTGTGGGTCTAAGGAAGGTGGGAAGGACGAGGAGAGGAAGAGTGCAACACACGAGCATAAGAGACGTCAGCATAAGGCGGGAGCCGCGAACCTGGCGCCTCACCTCAGGAAAAAATAAACGCTTCCTGTGCTTCAAGTTGAGGACGGCTGCCTCAAGCTTGCAATGGATACAGGCACGGGAAAAGGTAGGATGGGCCTCACCGAAGTTGAGGCAGCGAGCCTGGGGAGAAGTGCACTCCGACTTAGAGTGACCTTCGAGCGTCAAAACAAAAGAAGGTCGAAAGAATAATCAAAACAGGCAAAAGGTCGGCAGGAAATGACAATTTGATAGGAGAAGAGGGGGGATAAAAATGAAACACGAGGAAAAGGAAAAGGAGTCTGGCAAAATTGGTAAAGGCAGCAGCAGGAGCATAAGGCTGGAAAAGACAGAGGACTGACCCATGGAGCATCACACTCCAGCAGCTGTCCACCAAGCCCCCTCACGGCGGCAACGGGCCAGACAGCGAGGGGGCATTTTTCACAACTTGCTAGCCAATCATTAGTTGTCTAATGTACCAATGTTATTAGGTGATCTTTGCTTAATGAATTCTAAATGCTATGACTTGTACCTTGTATTACTTTACTTAATTGTTACTTGATTGTGGGTATGAATATAGATGTTTGTTGTAAATAAGGCGTGTCATGTAGATAAGTGCTACAGTTAACTGGAGGATTTTACTTAGACTCATTCAACCTAGTTATTTAAACATATATAGTTGAGGACAGGAGGTTCACCGATTTATTAGGGAAAGTTCTACTCCACGAACCCTGCAGGGAAGCATGAGACAACACGGGTCGCTGACCCTTCCTATTTTCATTGTTTTTCCAGAGTAGGCTGCGTATATTCGGCTACTACTTTTCGTCTACTACTGCCGTCTTTCAGCTCCTCACTTAAGGTCTCTTGCATGGGTTCTGTTCATTCTACTTGAAGGTAATCCTAGAGAGTTGGGGCCTCATCTGCTATTGGTCAGGTAATGTCTGTAGTGGGGTCAGATTCTTGGGCCCATTATTGACCTCTCAGGATTGAACAACTTCTTTGTCTGACCTTATTCATGCTCACTTAAGCTCACATTTGACCAGTGTTCCTGGACGGTGTCCCTGGACCTCGAGCACGTCCCTATTCACCCAACTTTCCAGGACTGGATAGGGTTTCTTGTGGGGGAGTCAAGCTTACCTCTTAAAGGTTCTGGCCTTTGTCTTGAATCTGGCAACTCGGATCTTTACCAGGTTAGTGCGAGTGAATGTGATGCAACTATATGTCTTGAAGACTCACGTCTTCTCTTATCTAGTTGACTAGGGCTTCAAAGCCAGTCCGAGTGTCAGGTAGCCAGTTTCTAGTTCTTAATGAGTTTGCTAGGTTTGGGTTCCAGGTGAACTAGCTTAAGTCCTAGTTGGTTTAGTCCTGAGTCTATTTCAACACACAGAAGATACTGAATACATATAGAAGCATTAAATATGCAAGTGATTGTTGCCGCCGGATGCGGCTAGTTTATTGTGCACCCCATACTCATCCTGTGAGCGATAGCGCAAAAAGAATTAGAGAGGGCACAAAAGATCTATATCAGACCTCAACTTAGATTATTACATAAACAACTTCATTTATCCTTCACATCTTATAGTTACAATGTCTCTTAGTTACAGAGAATATTCTGAGTATTACGGTTACTATGGGTCGCACCCAGATTCTTTGATGGTATCATACTAACGACCCCACGTCGGTAGTATGCTTTCAAGAAAGTGGCTATATAGTGCATAAAAAAGGAGGGGATGAACAAAACACTGTTCCTTTCGTCAATGTATTAAATGTCTTTTCACCACCGTTAAGTATATATATGTACACCATCACCATAAATAATATATAAAAAAACGATAGGCTATTACTACACCTATGTACAATCCTTTCGCTCAGGATAAACGTGTTCACGTGCAGAGCTCATCAATCACCAGTATTTCTTCACTGTCCAGTAGCGTATCCAACCTGACTGGGAAGAACACCGGCCAGTTCATCTATACGTGGGCCAGCCCACTGACAGTGTCATGAGATGTCTGTACCCCCAACAACCGCTCTCCAGCTACTTGCTGGCAGAGTATCTCAGCCACTCGCTGAGCGGGGTCACAAACAAATACAGGGGTAGCGATCCCCTGGCAGCAGTCTCTAGCGACCAGCTAGCAGCACTACTCAACAGACACCTCCCTGTCATCAGTCTCTCCCCTAAGCCAGTCTCAAAGGTACGCCGATCCTTTTCAACACCTAAGCACTTGCAGCTACCACACTGCTTCATCGGCGGCGGCTTACTTGGTCGTTTCCAGGACCTTGTAGGGAGATTGTGGACTGCCCAAGATGAGCTGCCATCTCCAGTACCGCTGCCCCCCAGACGTCACCTCTGTGGACATAAAAAATCGTCATCAATGACCTTGCCGATACTGGTGAACTAGGAAATACAACTAACTCACTGGGGAGTTGACATTGTGCTCTGTAGCACACACTAGGTGGCGCTGGTCTTGATGCGTCACCTCCCCAGAGGTCACTCACAACGACCCTTCTGGCTGACCAAGGCAGGAATCTATAGCCATTTGATAACCATCCACCAGATGGCGTTTTTCCACATTACGTACTATTCCCGAGGAGTTCGGGTGCAGACTTTTAGATGGCGCTGGAACTGCCACTCTACCATCTGACAAGGGCGACGAGACCGTAACAAATGGGTACACATGTTCCTGTGTTTGCATGATTGAAAGGATCATGAAATGAAAACCTCTTATTTACGCTTAAATTTAACATTAACCCTTCCACTCCTCAGGGGTTCTGAGGACATTTACACCCCTGTGCGCAAGAAAAAAAAAATCTAAAATTTTTCTCGTCTTCTAAACATGTTAATTTGTGTCCTCTGAGCACGGGAAAAATACAAAAAAAATCGTAGGTGACATATTTTGGGCGCAATTGACTGAGGAAGTCTGGCAAAAAGTGGGCATTGACAGAGCGGTCGTCAGAGCCGGTCAGCGTCACCCGCGCTGACAGGAGGGAGTTGCCACAAGGATATTATCACTTAATTATTTATATGTCTCTGATTTTTTCTTAGTTTTTGCAGTAATATTATTCAATAGTGTGTATTGTAATCTATTTATATAATAAGTGGTGAATAATTGCTATACTCAAAAGTATGGTTTGCATATTAGTGATTCAATTATGTTCATAAAACAATAAACAAATAGTTTTACTGCTATTACGCTATACACAGGTTATATATAAGTATCTGCATGTTTTGTTCACCATAACGAACCACTAAGTTGGTAATGAGAGTCGAAAAGCAATGAGGAGTTACCGCCACACACCAGCCAACCACTCGCTGCCACTCCCTCAACACACGCACTAAACTTTCTACCCCAACAATACCATTTGTGATGTTGTTATACTATATACAGACGTTATATATAAGTATGTATATATTTTGTTCACCAAACTGTACAGCTAAGCTGATATAGTTAGTTCAGGCACTAAGAGTCGTCGTTGTACACACAGTCAGCTGGCGGCTCCCTCACTCATTCAAGGTCACATGCACTAAACTTTCGCCCCCAACAATACTGTTTGCAGTGTTATTACACTATATACACATATTATATATAAGTATCTACATGTTGTATGCACCGTAACTGTACACCTAAGCTTGTAGTGCGCCCAAAGAGCATGGTGGCCACCCTCTAAACAGCTAGACAATTCATGCAGACGACGTCACCTCCGTCACTCAAATGGCTCCTCCCAGCATAATCCTTTTGCTGTTATTACACTAATACACACATAATATATAAGTATCTACATTTGTGTTAACCATAGAGAACCACTGAGCTGGTCCGGTGAATGCAAACAATAACAGGTGGCCACACAGTCAGTAACGATGCTATTTCCCTCCGTCTGCTATTATCACAACCTCCGTCTGCTATTTATATCACATCAGGGGTCATCCGTAATATTGTCATCGCTAAAAAATAGCAATTATATATTTATTTTGACATTTTTCGGTGATGCTGTGGTCACAAGCTGAAGAGCAATGCTGTTCGCTCATGCTGCGTGCGCCAGCTTTGGTTGCTCCAACAGTACAGTGCCTCTCACACCTGAGAATATTGCCCACAATTTAAAAAAAAAAATGGCGTCTGTTACAAGAGCCCTGAGGAAGCTAATGTGAACCCTGTGTAGCCGCAGGCCATTTGAATCAGGCCTGGCACACTTGGGCGTATATATACGCCATGCGCACGGTGGGACATGTTACTCAGAGCGTATATATACGCCATGCGCAGTTTAAGGGTTAAGGAAATTACAAAAGAAAAAATAGCCATCAGCATCCACCTACCCTGCCAGAGAAGTTGACGGAGGGTTCTGAGGGCAAGTTCTGCAGGAGGGCGCCCCAGGCGTATAAGATTGTGGTGTTGAACGCCATCGGACGCCCTCCAGCCACCGACTGCCACGCCCTCTGCAGCAGCCACAAGGTCACACCCCACACCACCACGCTCACCAGCAGCGCCACCCACAACTTTCCTGCAGGAAGGCCTTGACAATTCATTACCATTTTCTGTATGTATATGTCATAATATTAAATAATTATATAAAATGATTATTCATTTTAATATATAATATAATATTAAGCAGTATAATATTATACTGATAATATTAATCAATATAATATTATATTGATAATATTAATCAATATAAAACGTACGAAGTGCACTTCGATTGAAGCTTATATTACATTCAGGTCTCTAACACTGTATGTCAGTTTATTTAGTCTGACTCTAAAGTCAGCTATATAAAAAGTTTATTGTATAACTTTAAATTATTTTCTTATGTTACCTAATTCCTAAAGGTAAACCTGCATTCACTTCTTGGGAGACTTTAAAAAAAATTATGTTATAGTCTCCCTCCTTCCAGATAAATTCATGTTTAAGTATCTATTTATTAAAAATTAAATGGAGAATTAATAAGCTATTTCATATAATTAACTGATCCTTAGCTAAAAATATCTAAATTATTTGCAACGTTATTTAAGAGAGACAAATTTTAAGTACATATAGAAAGGTTTCATTTTAAAATAATTCTCCTCTCTTAATTTACATTTCAGAAATTTAGGTGTTATTCTCGTATTTCATATTTTGTAACAGTTATAAATCAAGTTTGCATATTATATAGGTATGTCGAAGACTTTATCTAAATATGTATGTACTATACATATTATGTATTATGTATGGCCTTACTCATACAAAATATTAATACTCTCATTTAGGGGCTGAACATCTAGTTGATGCCGTTGAAGGTTCAAGAAATTTATTAAAAAAAAGATTGACTAGTTTACCTAGTTGTAATTTCTCTGTTGATTATTTGGTGAATACCAAACGATCAACAGAGGAAACATTCGAGAGTTTTCATAGCAAGAAACAGAATATACCCCTTAAATTTTGAATTCATTTAGTTTTTAAATTTGTTGAGAATAGTGTGTATTTGTCTAGTCGATCAATTTAATTGTATGTTATATGTCTAATAACGGTGATTCGATGAAACAGGTATAATAATTTAAAAACCTTAATTAATTTAATAATGTGTTGTGCTCCTCGAGATGGGAAAACTATATCTCCTAAAACAGTAAGAAAAATATCCCTCCTTCTGTTATGCTTGAAAAAGACCAAACACAGCCCACTGATGAGGGATCACTATGGCTGGCAGAATTCTCACCGATAATTGATTTAGATTAACTAATGAAGATGCGACCAACGAAGATTTTACCAATCATCTAAGAACCAACCTTGTTCCTATTGGCCCACAATCTACAGTGATATCATACACACACCTCAGTTCGGGAAGTTTGAGAAAGCTACCACAAAAGAAGCAAAAAAAATTGCCTATAGAGAATTTGTATTTCTCCACGATCTCCAGACATGCTTTAATTAGCGCAATATTTTACGATAATTGTTATAGTACTGTGGATGATATGTATCTACGTACTCTCACTTATTCTCTTTCTTTTTTAAACTGAGACGTGGGTTCATTAGGCATGGAGCTCATGTGTCTCTACAAACTGCAAGCTAAGGGCTGTTATCCTAAACACCTTGTCTGAGGCCTCTCTCCCTTTTTTTCTTGTTATAAAGTATAATGAAATATACCTTCAAATGGACGTATGAGAGCGAGGTATTTTGGCAGCAGCGTTGGCTTGAGGGAGGTTATTGTAAAGGTGTCGGAAGGATAAGCAATGAAAAATTCAACCACTTTGGTGCGCTTTGCCGTCGGTACTGTAATGGTGGTAAAGTCCATTTCCTCCCGCTGGAGCAGACCGATCGACCCCGTGAAGGTGCCGTTTATCTCCACTCCCCAGGTGCGGTTGACGGCTTCGTGGACATCGAAACTGTGGGCCAAATGGCAAAGATAAGGAACCTTAGTGTGAGGAAACAATATATTAGAGTTGTGGTTAAATTAAAGATAATGGCATTTTATTGTAAATTCATCTGACTTTATAATTATATGCAAATAATTGATAGTGTGGATTTGTATGCACCCATGTGATTACTCAGCCCATCCTCCTAAGGTTTCCCAAGGTCGCTCCTAATGAAGCGAGACGCTATCATTTTCTAGTACGACAATTTTTGGCCTTAGATGTCAATACTAAATTAACTCAATGCTTCGGTCACTGAAAGATGCTAGCAACACTTTTAATTAATTTAATAAGGAGTTCCAAAGCAAAATCATTCTCCATATAGTTCCAAGGCAATTTCCATCAATTTTAATCCATCAAATCAGCTGCACTTTGCATAGCCAAACGAAGAAAAACGTTAGTCCAAAGCATACAAGAATTCATTCGTGGCATATACATCATTCAACAATAAATGTTTATCTTACTTGTTTAGAATAGTCTAATTCAGAGGGAGAGAGGAGAGGGGCATGAAGAGTGCTCGGTGAGGACGGCCTCTTGTGACAGGTGATCCAGTGTCTCATCGCTCACACACTACTCACCTTGCGCCTCCCCTTAAACCTGCCGTTTCAGAGTATCTTCTCTTCTCACACACAATTTCGCAGGCGGGAATGTATACTCACCTAGTTTTATTCACCTAGTTCTGCTTGTGGGGTTTAAACCTCGGTCTTTGGTCCTGCCTTATAACTTTCAATTAACTGGTGAACAGATTCCTGAGCCTAATGGACTCAATCATATCTCCATTTGAAAATGTGTAGGGCGTCATATAACATTGACCAATAAAGAACTATGTAAAACGGAAATTTAAGAACTTCCCTGTTGTTGTCGTAGTTGAATACATCCGTCAATTTAGGTATTAAGTATTTCAAATACCGACGATGCGATTAGACAAGATTTACGTATGTTAGCTGGGAAGGCTTGATGATTAATGAATGACCACTCATCCTCCCCGGGGACGCATCCCCCCAAAATGGTTCTCTTTGAGTTGTATTAATAATTTGAAGGAGGAGTTTACTTTAACTCACTTGATAACTAATAATTTAGTAAAGTGAAATTTATTAATTTCAGTCCTAAGACTTTCGTGTTAATTATTTATTGTTTATATGGGTATTACAATAATTTCGGTGACGTTGAAACATAATGTCGTTTTCTGTGTAAAATTGCTACAAATAAAATTTTCTTTGAATGAGAAACTGTAGTAATTTGTTTAATCTATATGAATAAAAATGGAAATGTTCATTTGTTCAAAATCGCTAGTCTCCAAAAGTTCTTCACCGACTGCTTTGATATTTTCACACAACGTTCCATTCGCATCCGAGCAAGTTTTTATGTACGTACTATATAGATGTCACGTCTGTGACGGTAAAAAAAACATTGTTTTTTTTTAAATAACTGTGTTTTTCATGTGGGGGAAATCTTCGAACCTTCTTTACCAATTGCTTTAAAATTTTGACACAACGTTGTATTCGAATAGGCGCGTCTTTTTATATATCTACGTTATACATGTCTCATCAGTGACAGGAAAAAAACATGCTTGTTTTGAAAAACAGCGCCATCTGTTGCACATAATGTCAACATGAACGCTATACTAAATATGTCACGAATTCCCTTTCAATGGTTCCGATTGCATTGAAAAAAATAATTTTCATAGATTTCGATTTATTTATTTTTTTATTGAATTATTTGGTGTAACTTTGTGTTGGAATTGAGCTGTGATGTTTATCATACCGTTCATTTCGTAAGTATAAGTATAGAAGCCACACCTGTGACAGGTAAAACTATGCTTTTCTTGAAAAACAGCGCCATCTGTTGCATGTAAGAGCAACACACATGCCATACTGGATATGTTAAAATTCCATTTCAATGATTCTGATTGCATTGATACATTAAATTTTCCTAGATTTTGATTTATTTTCACTTTGTTTTAATTATTTTGTGAGAATTGCGATGGAACTGAGCTGTGTTGTTTATAATACCATTCATTTCGTGATATTAGTTTTTTTCATATTTTCATTTAATTTTTTAACTGTTTTTCTAGTATTTCAGTGTTGGGAACATCAGATCATTTGATGGTTCCCAATTTTCTGATATGAACCTCAAACCATTTGTGAAAGCATCAGACGAAAGAGTGACGAATGGTGGGGATGATGTGGGAACGGAAGTGAGAGATGGTGCGGAGGACAAGGGGACAAGGGAGGGCTTTTAACATGGAGAAAGACAGGAGTCCTAAACTCTCTCAGAGGAGGGCCTCTTCACCACGTCGGCGCCTCTTCTTCGCTGTCCTGCAATCCATACACACTGTCCCTTCTGACAGTCCTGGACACACGCTGGCTTGCAGCCTATTCTACTACTAAAGTATTAATGTCCTATTGCCACATACATAAGTAAATATTGTGGCCTAACTAGCCTACTCACAAAGGGGTAATGGGAGGGAAAATGATCTACCTTACATTCCTGGCTCACGACGCCTGTCCCTCGATGGTGTGAGTTTCCCACGCTTCCTGAGTCGATCATTGACGATCCAGGAACGTTCCACAGGTCCTCAGGTGTCGTGGAGCCTTCGCGTCGTCGACGTTCCAATCCCTGAGATTCAGCTACCCCAATCCTGGTTCATCGATGGGCACTGAGCTGATCACTATTTTCCCACACTCGCCCCTTCCACAGGGCGTTGCTCCTTGTCCTAGGAACGGTGTCGTCCTTCCAAAACCTTCAGTGGATGTGACCCGGTCACAGCTAGGCTTGCCCGCCACACCTTTCCAGGCCCTGAATGTCCAGCGTCGCCGCCCAGCGTCGTCGCCGAATATTTTCCAAGTTTGGCACTCTTTTGCTCAATTTACTTGGTTCCTTTTTGCTTCCCAGAAGCGCGGGGTCTCCAATACTTCAGATGGGCTGCAATAGCCAGCTCTAATCCACTAAGAAAGGCTTGTAGGGCCTCAAATCCTTGAGAGCTGACCGAGGTGCATCCTCTCGCCTTCACGGTCAGGTCAACTCTGACGTTGGCGCAGCCCGGGGCACTCGGTGACGTCACGGCGGGCCCTGATTGGTCGCCCGCGACCTAAGTCGGCCAATCCGTGGTCTGCTAGTGTCCCTTCCAAAACGTCATATCTGCAGTAGGGGATACTCTTTCATTTTATATCAGGGCGCCAATTTCCCATTACTTACAACTTATAATGTAACTTTCTCCCTTAACTGGCAGCCGGTCTGGTCGCCACATATATCAATAGAATCCTTGAATCTCAGAGAATCAGTAGGGAGAGCTGATATGACTCTTTAAGCCGGCAAACGAAAGAAATAGGAGAGGGCACCGTAACATACCCCTCCCCTTAAAATAAGAGTCATATCGGAAGAGCAGCACTCAAGAGGGCAACCTATACTGTTGCTCCCTCCGTTCCTGAAGTGTCACTCCTCCAGTTTGTGACGTGGCTCGTACCACCTTGCCAGTCACTTGCCTCATTATATCTCCCCCTCGCATAGGACCGGGTGTGATGGGTGTTCCCTGAACACCTAAAAGAAATCCTCTCTCCGTGGCTACGAGTGTACTCCAACGGCTCGTTACCACTGTACGATTCAGTGCATGCAGCGCCTCCACCGCGTCGTGCACTCCGAGATAGTCTTGCACTTCCACTGCGTCTTACAGGTACTCCATGTTTCCTCTCATGAGCTCCTCTTCGCCAATCTTCTCTCTTCTCGGTTCCTCTTCTCCCATAGGTGCGTTGTCTCTTCACAGTGGCACTTGTCACCTGTACTCCATCCAGCAGCTTCCTCTCTTCCACACTAGGCTTTTGCGATGGCCCAATGCCCCTCTTGTTAGGCTGGAGCCTTCCCTGGGTGTACCTATTCCCTGCTTTCTTCGTATTGCCTTTCCTATACCATTCGCTCCTTCGTTCCCGACGAACATTTTCATCTCTCCAAAAGATTCTCTTCCCTGCAGACGTCTTCTTCGGTTCGTGGTTGGGCTCATCCACCTCCCTGTGGCTCACCTCACCACTGTGGTTCATCTTGCACCTACCACTATTCATCTGGCTGGCATAGGGTGCACTGCGTCGTGGCTCCTCCACTCTGCCCCTCACTGCCGTTCGCCCATCCACTGAGCTTACTTTATTCACGTTTCTGTGTGGAGGGAGTGCGGTCTGCAGCCTCTTCACCGCCCCAGGCGTTTGTACAGCTCCTCCTCGCCACTCCTCCACACGCATCATCAGGCTTAGTCGGAGGTCCTCGTCGGGGTTTTCCACGACCTCTCTGCACTCTCGCCCTCGTTGTCGTCGTCTCTGGCGACGTTTTCCCTGGCGAAGTCGGCTTCCTCACTACCATCTAGAACGCCCGATACCTCACCTGGCAGGGTTGTACCGCTGCTTGCAACATAGGTACTCCTGGCCCAATCGGGTTGTATCCTGCCTCCTCCGCGGTCATGACCGAGCACCATCTGTACATGCTCTAGGGATAACTTAGGGGCTACAGCTACTATAGCTTTCTCGACTCCGCAGTCGGCAATCAGCTGTACTTCGTGAAGTGGCAACCTGCATTCCTCCCCCACACTGCGTATCCTCACCACTCCCACAGGTGAATCATTAAATTCCTTGGGGAGAATACTCCTGGTTACCATACTTATGTCAGCACCCGTATCTCGAAGAACGGCCACCTCCACTGGGTCTGACTTTCCAAACTTCACGTTGGTTCCGAAAACGAAGGGATGTTCACCCAACTTCATTTCCCAACCATTCACTTTGGGTCCACTATAATATGGGGTGTGAACAAACACTCTCTCCTCTTCCAGCATTAGTCCTATATTCCTTTGGTGCTCCTCATACTCGTGGGCATAATGTCCTCTCACACCACAGTTGAAGCATCGGCTGCCTCCCTTGGGCGGCCACTCGCCAGTCCCCCTGGCGGTACTACTTGCAGACGTTCCCTGGGTCCTCCTCGGACTCCCTGTCGTC